ATGATAATATCAATAATAAAATAAATTTAATATCATTAATGTATATATATTATTTTTACTATATATTAGAAAAAGAAGCATAAGCATGATGAGCATGATGGTAAACGAAGACACAGACATGATAAAGATGGAGGAGAATACAAGAAAAAGAAACGGAAGAAAGTTTGTATTTTTTTATTTTGATGTTTTTTGATGTCTTATTTTAACATGCAAAAAAATTTTTGAATGAGTATATATTTGATAATTAACCTAAAATACCACACACACACACACACTAAAATTATAATTCAGGATAGAGAATTAACTGCTATATGAGCTCCTTATCAAAATAAATAGCGTATATACGAGGTTCTTATATTAAACTTCATACATGTATATTTACACTCACATATACATATTATTATTGAAACTTATATATTTGTGTATATATATATACATACAGAGTTATGATAATTGGTAAAGATGGTGATGATAATGATAATGGTGAAGGAAAAGATGATAATATTTCGTAAAAACAAACGAAAAAAAAACAAATTTAAAGAAAGAAAAAATGTTTTTTCCTCTTTTATTTCTTAACAGAAATATATCTTATCTATAACATATATTTTTTATCAATTATAAATCCAAAAAAAAAAAAAAATTTTTTTATCAACATATTTATATATATTAAATATAAATATAAATATAAATATATATATGGACACTAATGATTATAACAGAAAGTGAAAAAATCCAAAAAAAAAGATAAAAAGAATAAATGTATTGGGTTGGGCAAAAATATTTTAATTTATATATCTTTTTTGCAATCAATCCTAATTATTATTAATTTTTTTTTTCTAATTGTAAATATGTTTTATTATTATTATTTTATCATTTACTAATAATATTTTTAGATTTATTTTTTTATTACAGGTTGACTTTTTTAGAACAATGGTATGATTTTTTTTTTAATAAAAAAAAAATTATTATAAAATGTTAGCAATATATACATCTGCAACTAAATCAAAACTAATTTGTAATAAAAATAAAAAATTAATATTAAATATAATTAATTTTATTGCAAAACACATTTATTTTTTCCATCTAAAAATTCTATTTGTTGTAGATTTTGTGCCACGTAATAATCATGCTCTGTTATTTTATCCTCATCTACTTCATCAGGATTCAGAATCTGAAGTTCATAAAATAATAAATACCCATTTTTACTAAATTCATTAAATAAAAATGTAATATCTTGGAGAGAATTGAATTTGGTAACTCGTTGGTCAACGTTCAAATCATCTAATCTATACCATCCTTCCTCCTAATGGTAACAACAACAATAATAAAGAATAATAATATTTATTATTGTTGTAATTTATTACTATTTTTCTACTCTTTAATCAATTAATCAATTAGTCAACTCACAAATATGTACATACATCATCTAGAGTAAATCCTTTGTAGTGACCAGAATAAAGTGATTCACCATAATGACAAACCACAGATCTCAACTTTAATTTATAATGTATATTATCTATTCCATACTTATAAGGTTGTTCGTCAGCTGCATCGGAATTGACAAACAAATTGAAATTGGCGAAAGGTGGAATGTAAACATTTTTCTTTATTCGAAAAGGCCTTAGACTTTCATTAAATCCATATCGTTTTAATACGAGTGGTAATAATAGATTTGTGGTAGGAAAATATGATTGATCAACCTTTATTCTTTCATCTAAAAATAATTATATAATTATTTTATTATAATTTGTTTTATTTCCCACTCCTCCCTCCCTTAAGAAAAGGATTACCTTGTTCATTACTAGCAGAATAAAAAGGCAAAAGTTTTAAAACTTGCCAAGCGGTAACAGGAATTTCTGATTGTTCGATACTTAATTGTATTTTTCCTTTTGTTTTTTCATCCCCTGCTAAATCGACATTTTCCTCAGGTAAAAGCTTTCGTTTAATACCAGATATAGAATTATCATAAAAGTGTGCTTTCAATGCTTCCTCGAGTGTTACCGGTGTCTCATCTTTTGGTTCACCTGGTATAGCAATCTGAATCATACGTTCTGTTACAACTCTTTCGTCCATTGGATCTCTTTTTGCCCCATGAATCAAGTGCATCTCCAATGGAAGATACGGTAGTTCGTAAAGATATGATAGAAATAAAAACAATTCGCTGGAATCTTCTTGTGTTGGTCTTCCATAATCATCTAATCCAACCCATCCACAATTAATAAGCTTTTCTCTTAATTGCTAATAATTATAATTATAATAATTATAATGATAATAAATAATTGAAAATAATATCACTCATG